ATGACTTACATTCAGGTCTTTGATCCATTTTGAATTTACTTTTGTGTATGGGGTTAGACAGTGATCCAGTTTCATTCTCTTACGTGTAAGCTGTCCAGTAAATTGCTCTTTTCTTAAATGCAGCCCCAGAACCTGTAGATTGCTGCTACCTGCTGCACATGGAAGCTCAGTGCCCAGCAGGCATCTTAATCCACTAAGCCAGTTAATCAAGACACCTTTCATGTGGAGCAAAGCATGTCCATTCCCTCCTCAGCTTTGTCCACATGAAATGCAGTGTCCAGGCTTCTAGCCAATTGCCATATGCCCAGGTAGCAATCGGCAACGAAGGTTGGCTTCTTGCTATATCATATTTTAAAAAATGTTAGGACCAGCCATTGATCTCTTTGCTTTTAATAGTTTAGAAAATGCTGTTTCCCCTTTTGTTGTTTCCAGTGACTTTGTCTCCCAAGCATCTTTTGCTATAGATTGAGTCTTTTCTAGGGAGCAAACCAAAGGGGTTAGGCTTGAGCCTGTACCGAAAGTGTTTAGTCTTCTCTAGTTGAGTCAGAAGGTGCCACACTCCTATTCCCACCTTGGGAGTGGCGTGGTTGGAGAGCTGCAGGCCAGGTCATGTTTACTGCATTATACACATGATAAATGGTCTTAAAACTGTGATTCTTTGTGGTATGATGAGTTATAATAAACTGACCCTAAAGAATGCAATGGCTTTTAAACTACAGTTAACTGTTTTTAATGAAGCAATACCCAAAGCTCTGTTCTTCTGAAGCAGCTGTGGGAAGGTTGAATGAAAGGTAGAAACACGAGCAGTACGCTGAAGTCATGTTAAGTATCCTGCCTTTTGCCATCTGCACAGGGAAGTGCATCCTAAGTGTACTAGGAGCCTTGCATCAACTCAGTCTGCTTTTTCCAACATACTTCCCAAGTTTCCTGTGCAAAAGCTTAGTCATTTGGCCCAGGCCTTCCAAGGGAAGATGGGATGTATCAGTGACTAGGGTGAAGTGGTAACTTGTCTTTACTCTTAACACCAGGTTGTGTGATCTCAGTGATGCTAAACCAGTGATTGGAATGGTAAAAAGCATCCTTGATGGTTCTTCACAGGATACTGGTGAAATCACTGTTGATTCAGCCAACATGCCTACATAGTCTTGATGATCCTTCTCTGTATAAAGGTAGCTAACATTAAGAGAAGGGGAAAAGAGAGTAAGAATAGATAGCTTATAGGGAGCTGAGATCTTATTTTGTTGGCCCATATTTTTCCATTGACCAATTTACCTGTAAACTGGAATTTGCAGGAGGTGCTGTGATTACCCCTTTCCATTGCTATAATGCTCATATAATCTGAGAAAATGAGAGAAGGGGAAATGTAAATAAAAATTTTCAAATCTTAGTTATGTGTTAAAATGCTCCCTTTCTTCCCAGGTGAGTTTTTTTTTTTTTTTTAAACTTTGTTGGATGACTGTGAAGCTATAAATAGTGGGTTGGGACAGGTGTATCAGTTTTGACAGTGCATGTTAAGAACTGCACAGGGACTGCTTGAGATGACTTAAGAATCGTTCCATGCAAATACATTGTTTCACCCCAATAAAATATTCAGAAAGCTGTATCTGCCTTTATTCATTCAACCAATAAATATTGGGTGCTATTTCCATGCCAAGCACTGCACTGAACATTACCAATAACAGCAGTAAACAAAGTAGATACAGTTCTTAACTTTCCATTAAAAAAATAAGCACAGGAACATACCTGTCATTTTACAAACTGCTAAGTAGTCAAAGTAAAGAGCATGATAAAAAATTGTATCCAGTATCTGGTTCAAACAGAGGTGACAGAAAACTTTCCTAAGGAATGGAGGATCTGAAAAAGAAAAAGTAGTTGATGCTGTGTGAGCAAAGGGAGAATGGTGAGGTGGGCAAGAGGGCCTGCTGCACAGGGCTGTCGTCATGAGTTTATCTTATGTACTGGGGAAAACTAGTGAAAAGTTTTAAGCATTGGAAAGATCACTAGCCTGCTTTTTTGTAGACATTGACAAGTGGATAACATGTATATGTAAAGCTAAGGATGTGGAATAGCCAAAACAATTTTGAAAGAATCTCTACCTGATCAAAACTTTCTACAAAGCTACAGTAACCAAGACTGCAATTAGCATTAAGATGGTCATATAGTAGAACAGAATGGAGTTCAGAAACAGACCCACATGTACATAGTTCATTTTTAACAAAAGTGCCAAGTTAATTCGGTGGGGAAAGCACAGTCAACTCCTGGTGCTGGGACAGGGGCATGTCTAGGGAAACGCCCTTCAACCTTTAGCTCTTATTATATAAAATAATTAGGTCATAGACTGGAGTGTAAAAACCAGAACTATGAAACATCTAGGAGAAAAGGTAAAATCTGGGGGTTATGCAATGATGTCAAAATACAAAAAGCATGACTCAAAAAATTTGATGAACTGGACTTCATCAAAATGAAAACTTCAGAAAACTTAATAAAATGAAACCGCAAACCCCAAACTGGGATAAAATAACCATAATACATATATCTGACAAAGGCTTTTATTCAGAATATACAAAGAACTCTTAAACTCAAGACTATTCAATAAAAAATAGGCAGAAGACTTGAACAGCCACTTCACAAAAAGAGGTAAAGTGGCCAATAAGCACATAGAAAAATGCTCAACATCATTGGTCATCAGGAAAGTGCAAATTAAAACTACAATAAGATTCTGCCACTCACCCACACACTAGAATGGCTAAATTAAAAAAAGTTACGATACCAGTTGTTTGCAAAGATGTGGGAATGCAAAATGGAATAGCCATTTGAGAAAATCTGGCCATTTTGGGGCAGCAATTTCATTCACCCACCAGGTGTCAAGGCATGTCCACACAAGGACGTAACACTGCAATACTCACAGCTGCTTCCTTCATAATAGCTCAAACTGGAAACAATCCAATGTCATCATAGTGAATGAACAAACTAGTATTGATGGAATACCAGTCAGCAATGAAAAGGAACCAATTACTGATACCTACAACTAGACGGATGAATTTTAACATGCTTAAAGAAAGAAGCCAAACGAAAAAATACATAAATACAATTCCACTCACATGAAATTCTAGAAAGGCAGAATCTATAGTGACAGAGTGGATCAGTGGTTGCCAGGAGCCAAGGGTAGGGAAGAAGAGATTAACTGTATAACAGGACTGTTAAAAGATAATTTCCAAAAAAAAGAAAATCATGACTCTCTTAGAGATACAAAAGCTAACAGTTAAAGATTTTATTTAACTCGTTAGGATATTGGTAAGGGCATTACAATCAGTTCAAAGGAGACGCTGGAAAACAAACATTTACAGATGAGTATTGACATGAATGTACAAATGAAGGCAAAACTGATCTCTTCCATGCTAGCGGATGGAGAGCAATTGAGCCTCGACAGGACAGGACAGAATTTGCATTTCTATTGACAAGAACTATTTTGCTTTGCTATTAGTTACCTACAACTTACAGTCATATTATAACTCAGAGACAATGAAGAACTAGAATCAGGAAACTCGGAAGGCTATACTGTATGTAGATAATACGTTGTTTTCCACTGAAGCATAAATTTTCCTACAGTGCCCAGAGGGTAATTAGATCAGAAAGTTCTGTATCATCATGGTGGTGGTGACTTGGATGTGTACATTTGTTAAAACTCACTGAACTCTTAATAGGTTGAACCATATGAAATTGCCAATATTTTGACCCTTTTAATTTAAAAAATGGAAACTTCATATAATTCACTCTAATATAAATCTTTTACATTACTACTTCTCACACCTGTGAGGTAGGTACCACCACCACCACCACCACCACCACACACACACACACACTTTCACAGACACTTTTACAGACTGGGACTTTATCCTCACTTGAGTTCCAAGTCTCTCCTGGTTTTCTTAGTGCTCCTGGAACCCCCTGCGGAAACTGGGTGCAGAGTGGCAGGTGTTTCTCCGGCAGGAAAGCCGGAGGAGCCTCGCGGGGAGTTACTTCCAGGCCCTCCTCCCCGCGCAAACCTACCTCTAGGCATAAACAAGCATGTGCCCGAGAGCTGAAGGCTCTGATGGTTCTTGTGACCCGGCAACGCCGTCGGAGGGCCGGCGGAGAGGGCGACCCCGCAGCAGTCGCAGGGCAGGGCTGGAGCGCCCGGACCCGCAGGGCAACTGCCCGCGAACAGGAATTCGCTTGGGGGCCTGCGGATGGGAGGCGGCCAGACAAAGGCAGCCGCCCGCTGGGTCGAGACTGGTCAGGGCTCGCGGAGGAGCCCCCTCTCCCGGGAGCGGACCCCGGCAGCAGCACGCGCGCCCCCGCGCTGCCCGGTCGCCCCGCGCGAGCCCCGCGCGCTCACGCGGCCCCACCCGCGCTGCGCTCCCTGCGGGGCCGCCGGGAGGAGGCAGGCCGGGCGCTGCAGGCTCGCGGGAGCGGGTCAGGAGGCGCGGAGGCGCGGGACGGAGCAGCCTCGGGGGGACCATGCCTCGGGTCCGGGGCCGAGCGGGGCTGCTCGGAGTCGTGCTGCTGACGGCGCTGCTGGCCGCGGGGCGAGGGCTGCCCCTGAGGAAGCCGCGGGGCCCCGGGCCCCCGCCCCCGAGCCGCGCGAGGCTGGCGGAGGTGAGCTCCGGGGCGCGGGGCAGCGGCGTGCTCGGTCCCTCCTCCCGGGCGCGCGCTCCGCGGGAACCGGGACGCGAGCCGCGACCACCGAGGGCGAGGGCCGGGAGGGCACGCGGGACCCCAGCGGCCAGCCCGGGGAGAAAGCGCGAGTCTGTGCTGAGTTAAGGGCCAGACACCCTGTCCTCGCGTCCGCCCTCCGCGTCCCGGCATCGGCCGCGCCCTGAGCGAACCTGTCCTGCAGCCGTCGGTCCTGGCGCGCACTCCGAGAGGAGTCGGGAGGGCGCAGAGCAGTCGGCGCTTTGCGGGGTGGCAGGCCGGACTGAGGTTCGGCCGGTCGAGTGACCCTCTAGCGCGCCTCATAAATCAGATCTGCCGTGGATTTGAGTCCCTTCAGGTGTGACTTGAGACAAGGTAAGGTGGTAAGCGGCGTCCTTGAACTTGCAGGGTGGGAGTAGTCAGCTAGGGACCTTTATGCTATCCTGTACTTGGAAAAGAAGAAGAGGTCGCTAAGAACGCAGGGGAGCACTTTCTGAGCCGCTTGTGAGTGGGCTTGGAGGATGGACTGAAGACCTGGGAGTGAGTCGGAAAGACTGGTTGAGACATGGAGAGGATCCACGGTCTGTCAGAGCCTGTGTCTCCTGCCACCAGCGGGCAGCCTTTCCACCCCAGGCTGCGGGTGGGCATTCATCCCCATGGGGACAAAACCTGCCAGACTTGTTCCGGGGTAGGCAGGAGCAGGCCTGTGTGGTAGGGTGTCCTGGCTTCTCCCCTGCACTGAGCTGTTCTAGGAGGAGGCCGGGGTAGAAAATGTCGTTTTCCAGCGGAGGACACAGAGGGGCCCAGCCAGGGGCAGGGGAGTGGTGAGAGAGGGAGCGCCCAGGCTGCTGAGGCCTCCACAGGGCTGCACTGCAGGGGCTGGTCTCTGGACAAGTGTCTGCCTGCCTTTTCTTCATTCGTTGCGGCCCTCCTAAGGGGCCTTTTAGATATTTTTTTCTAAGTGCCTTTCTCCCATGAAATTTTAATGCCACAGATACACTGTTGTATTAAATTTAATACCACAGATGGCCCTTTGGAGAGTTAGCAAAGCATTGTAGTATCTAATATGTTTTGCATGTGTGCACACACACACACGCACACGCACACCGCCCCCATCCATTTTTTGACCCTGTTGAAAGTACATCTATAGACAAGGGTTTCTCAGCCTCCACACTACTGTCATTTTGGGTTGTACTAGAATTGCACTCTCACAGTTTTTTGTTGTGTGTTGTGGGATGTATACCAGCATCCTTGACCCACTAGGTGTCCGTGGCGCCCCTCCCTGACAAGAGCCAGACACTACCTGATGTTCCCTAGGGGATGCCTTCCCTGCCCTGCCTGTCATTGGCACTTTAGGTGTGCAGTGTACATATCAGAGCAGCCCTAGTGCCAGTGAAGGCCCTCAGGCAAGTGGACACAGGCAACTGTAAGTAAGGCGTGCAGAGTTACGGGCAGAGCCCCAGAGCCCTAAGTTCTAAGTACTGTCCCAGCACTTCTGTACCAGACCTGGGAGAGGCCCTTTACATGCCTTCTGTCACTTCCTCTGGCTACAGTGTAAGCTCTGGCAGGCAGGAATTTCTGTTTGCTTTCTTCATGCTGTATCCTGTGCCTAGCACAGAGCCTAGTACGCTGTAGAAGCTCAATAAACCATTGCTGAGCCACTGAATGAACACCAGCAACCCTGGAGGGACAAGTCTATGTTAATGAGGAGGCTGTGGAGGTTCAGAGAGGATAAGAGCTTACAGAAGGTCTCAGAGGTCACCACAGCAGAACCCGGGTCCAAACTCAGTTCTGCCCCCTCTCAATGGCCATGCCTCAGCGCACGCATGCACACGTGGGCACACACTCATGAAGACATCCGCTCATGTGCGACCCCCTCTGTGTTCTCCCACCCTCTCGTCTCCTCTCTGTTCAGGAGTCAGGAACTTGCTCTGGATAATGAAATCCAGTTGCCAGGTACAGCCCAGCACCTCCACTCCCCGCAGCCCCAGCTGCTGAGGCCTAGACCTATCCACTCAAAGCCAGGCCACACGCAGTCACCTTAGCCTCCCAGGAGACCCAGCACTCAACAGCAACTGCCTCTTCTGCCAGGCCAGAGGACCGTGGGCAGAGGGATGGGGCTGGCACACACTATTCTAACCCAGCCCGCCATGGCACCCAGTGAAGCCCCCCCTCTAAGCTCCTCACTGTAATGAGAGTACTGTTGACAGAACACACCCTGCAAGCACCAGAGCTGGCCTCATGCCACGTGACCTATGAACCTGCACAGGGCCCTGTGCCGAGTTTAAGGCTGTGCTGTTGCAATCTTGAAATGTCTAGAGGCCCCACACTCTCATTCTGCACTGGGCCCCACAAACTCCTTAGCCAGGGCGAGCACTCTATCTGTTTAGACTCAAATCCTCACAAAAGTCCTTTGGGCAGGAACTAGCATCATCCTCACTTCATAAGTGAGGCAGCCAAGGATCAGAGAGGTGAAGTAACTTTCCTGGGGGCACACAGGGGGCTGGCAGAGGATTTGAGACAGATGGTCTGGCTGGAGAGTCTGTGCTCCTTAATCCCTGTGCTTTGCCACCTCTAGGCAGGACTGCACCTCTGCTTCGCTGGGGTGCTGAATGTGTTGAATGAGCAAAACACGAGAACAGAAGGTTCTGCTTTTCATATCCCTCTTTCCCGTTGATCCTCGTAACAACTCAGGGCGGTGCGGAAAGAGGAGGTTGAAATGAGTGATTAAGTGGTTAGAATAATGCCTGACATTATTAGTAGATGCTGTGGAAGTGTTTGATAAGTAAAATTTTGACAGTCTTTCCAAGTTGGAATTGTTATTGTCATTTTGCAGATGAGAAAATTATCAAGTTGAATGAGCAAGTAAGAGGCAGAATTGGCATTTGAACCCAAGCCGCTCTGACTCTCCAGACCTGTGTCTTTTCAGGCATTCCACGCTGCCCCATGTGTGAGGCAGAAGGTGGGGTGGAAGGTGGGTGGGGCAGGGTGGACAGACTCCCAGTCCTGTGCTCAAAGGGCAACTCTGGACAGAGCTTTCTCTGTCTGGTCATAGAGACCTGGGCAATGACTGCAGCCTGCGAGCAGGTGGGCAGCCACTGAGCCCCCAGTGCCCACTGTCTGAGCAGATGAAGGCTGGACCAGGAGTCAGAGACAGCCAGGATCTGCCTTTCACTTATTATTTGTGTTAAAGCAAGGACAGTCTTGGTGTGAACCCCATGGGTACTGGCTGGTGGAGGGAATTAACTGACAGATGGTTGTACATGCAGCCTGGGATAGGAAAAGTGGCTGGGCCCCAGGTGGGCCGGCAGAGAAAGATAGCTCTGGGCAAAGATGCCAAGGAATATAGCCCCACAGGGATGGCTTGGGAGCCCAGGTGGCAGGGGAGCAAGGCCCAGGCCTGCCGCTCACTCCCCTCTAGGTGTTCCTGCACTGACTAGTGAGGGCCTAGGTGTCTGCTTTCTGACAGGGGTGCTGGGGGGTTCTGACACAGGTGGTCTGCAAACTGCACTGTGAAACCACTATCTTAAACAACTCATTCTCTCCCTGAGCATCAGTTTCTTCATCTGTAAAATGGGAAGTTGGATTGTCTCTTCATGTGTAGAAACCTGATTTCAGCCCTCCTCTCATGCCTCACACTGGCACTATTTCCAAGCACTTTGTGGATACAGCCTCACTTACCATCAGAGGTGCTAAAGCGGGCGTGTTTGGATACAGGGCCACAGGGGACTGTGACTTGGTCTGACCCCAAGACTTCTGAATCTGCCACCACCAGCCTTGCGAGGGCCCACATGGAGAGAGCCCTGACTTCACCCACCCCTCTCTCCCCCACTCTCTCCCTCAGGTTTTGGCCTCCCTAGATCCCAGCTCTCCTGGGGAAGAGGAAGGGAAACCACTGCTCCCCAGGACCCGCCTCCAGGCAGGACCACGCCAGCACAGACACCGGGCTCTCCCTGAGCCAGCAGCCTGGACCCTGGACGAGGCCTCGGCTGCCAGGACTCTGGAGAACATTCCCTTGCTGCTGGAGCTACAGAAGCTGCCAGGGCTGGCCAGCACAGACCTGAGTGCCCTGAACCCCAATATCCAGGCGAGAACTATGGAAGGCCATGGGCCCAGTGGACACTTGGCAAGTTGCTGGGCCGAACAGCTGAGCTCTGTAATCAGGTGTCCTCAGACTGTGTTCCTTGGAGGGTGGGGGTCCTGTGGGTGGTCAGAGAAAGTGACTCTCTGTACCCTCCTTACAGAGCAGAGGGAATATCTGTTCCTCCACCTTCTAGCTGCAGACCCTGAGCAAGTCACAGGGCTCCCTGAGCCTCTATTTCCTAGTCCATTGCAGGAGACAGACAGCACCAACCTGGCAGAGCCACATGCTTTGTGAACTGCAGGATTCCAGGAATTCCTGTGGAAAGCCTGACCCTTACTGTGGGCCCCACGAACAGAAGAGGTGGTCGAGTGCAGAATGAGGTGGGCTGGTGTAGGGGGCCTGCCCACCAAGGGACTTGATGGGAGAGGAAGCTAGAGAGGCCACTGGAATTCCAACTGGCACACTTGGCTGCTAGTCCTGAATCCCTAATGATAACAATTCCTCATTTTTGTGTAGCATCTACAGTTTACAGAATACTTTCACCAAAAGAGAAAAGGCCACAGAAGTATAGAATGTAACATTCTAATTGTTTAAATGTGTGTGTGTGTGTGTGTGTGTGTAACCTGGAAGATTAATCATCAAAATGTTATGTCTGTGATGGAATACAGGTGATTTTCATTTTCTTTATATTTAACTGTTTTTTCACTCAGATGTTTTTCAGTGACCTCATATTACTTTATAATAACCCCATATGATGTTTTTAAAGTTGACTTTCACATAAAGATTTCTTGTTATTCATTTCCTGTCCACAATGTGGTGAGAGCGTGCCTCCCCCCAGTCAGAAGGTTGAAGGTTGTGGTGGAGAGTTGCTCCCATTTTCTGGCCCTACAGGGAGGAAATGGAAGCTCAGGGCTGTTAGTGCCCCCTGAGGCTGGGCAGCCTGAGAGCTGGTGGAGCCAGCATTTAAAGCCAGTGTCCCCTAAACTAGTGTGTCTCTATCCTGGCACGTATTAGAGCTACCATGCCTGGCCCAGCCCAGCCCAGTTAAATCCATGTTTGGAATGGGGTCGGGGAGTCAGAAATCTCCAGGAGATTCTGATGCACAGCCAGTTCTTCAGCTGTGACCCTACAGTCATGGAGGGCCGTCTTGCCAATGGGGTTTCAGACCACGGCTAGTTCCCTATGGATTCAATGTGACCAAAGAAATGACAGCAAAACATTCTTTGGGGTGCAAGTGTTTATTACCTGGCTTGTTCTCTCGGCAGTAGGTCAAGCACTAGCACCGTGGCCCAGAGCACTGGGCCGAGCTCTCAATAAGCACAATAATAGCTTATTGCCTAAAGGTGTGGAAGCGGTAGCCTAGCAACGGGCCAGTTACACCATCAGGTGGTGTAAGTTCAGTGAGGATCCTGGCCATAGGAACCCCAACTTCCCCCTAAGGGCCAAGATGGTTGGACAAGAGAATGAGCTGGTTTGGAGGAAAGATTGTGCCTCTTCCCCTGCCCCTGTCCCCCATTCGCCATCTCCCCTCTCCTGGATTCCAGCTCTGAGCCCTCCTTAACTGGCTGGCCTGTGTCTGTCGTCCTGCAGGTGACTCTCGAGGTGGCAGAGGACCCCCAGACTGAGGTGGAGATGGACCTGCTGGCCAAGCCCAGCAATCACTGGTCCCAGGGCACCCCCAGCTGGCTGCCCACCAGGGAGCTTTTCTGGCCCCTATTCTGGGGCTACTTGGAGGGCCAAGAGGGAAGAACAGGTGTCAAGGGCAGAGCCCCTGGGGAGGAAGAGGAGGAGGAAGAGGAGGAGGACTACCCTGCAGAGCACAGTGAAAACGAGGACCAGGAGGGCCGTGATGAGGACGAGGATGACGAGGAGGAGCCTGGGTTCAGTGGGGCTACAGGCGGCTGGGAGCAGGGCTGGTTGGCCCCTGGGGCCTGGGCCTTCAAGGAGCTGGACAGCTATGGTAAGCACCCCCATCTGGGCATCCCTGGCTGCTGCCCCTGGAGGTCCAGAGTGGAAATGGGGGTGGGAAAGAGCTTCCCAGGCAGGGCCTGCTGGGGACGCCAGGAGCTTAGGCCTGTACAAACACCATCATCTGATAAATAGTAACATTACCCATAGCTTGCAAAGTTTTTTTCCCCCAAACATTTGACCTTCACAACAGCCCTGGGACCCCTCCCCCCCACTAAGCAAAACAGACATTTGTTAATATATGTATTCATATCAGTTTCCAACAGATTGGGAAATATAAATCCCACCACTCACAATGGACCTCATTTTCAGACTGTGTGGGTTTGAAGCCGGGCTCTGCTGCTTACCAGCTGAGTGAGTGACCTTGGGCAGGTTACTCAACCTCGCTGTGTCTCAGTTCCTTCCTTTATAAAATGGAGAATGGTACAATTCTTACTATGTAGGATTGGGTGTATATTGAGTTAATACATCTTAAGTGCCAGTGCACAGTAAACAAAGTATTGGCTATTTTTGTTATTTTTATTAGAAAACGATGTAAGAGTACAGATTGTTTAGGAAATATCACCTAAAGCCTGCCAGCCCCCCATGACAGCCATTGTTATTCTTGTATATTGCAGTTCAGGTTTTCCCTGGGTGCAGACACATTTCAGGCAAAGTTGTAGCCACTTCTGTGGGAGCCTTGATGTCCCGTCATTGGGGCGACATGCCTGTGGAGACTAAGTCATCGCAGGCTTTGTAGTGTAGGCTAACAGGAAGAATTTTCATGACTTTCAGCTTTCCCCCCATCAATTTTCCTTAACTCTTGGTGCCAGCAGGCTCAGACCTGCATGGGAAGTGAGCACAGAGCTGGCTGCGTCAGTATTTGGGTTTCCACAGAGAGCCCTGGGTCTCTGGCCTGTGCAGTCAGGGTGTATCCCAGGTTCCTAACCACCACCAGGTCTCTCACGTGGGCAGCAGGAACATCCTTTAATACTGCCAGTGCCAGGGAAGTACTGTCACCTTGGTTTTGGTTGACATAAAACTGTAGCTCAGAGATGCGGGAGGACTTGCCCGAGGTCACACTGACAGTGGTCAGGTGGCCTCCAGCACCCCCACCCCCACCAGATACCTTTCCATCTCCACTGCTGTGTGGGCACACAGTGGGTGGCTGGGGTTTGTGCTGTCTCTGTAGGGCCATCTCCTGCATTTGCATGGTGTTCACTGCCCGAGGGTACCCCGTTGAGGAGATGGGGCTGAAATCCAGCCCTTGCCCTGTCTGCTAGGCTGGGAAGCTCCAGCACTGGCTGTATCCTCCTAAGGAAGGGGTGCCTTTTGCTAATTTGCACCAGTAAACCCTGTGGGCTGTGCTGTCTCACCCTGGCTCCCTGCCTTGACCCAGACAATGAGCTTCAAGAGTGGAGCCCCTGGTCTCCTTGTAGTGGGACCTGTGGCAGCGGCAGCCAGCAGAAGACTTGGCCCTGCAGCTCCGCCTGCACTGCCTCCAAGTCCCATGCCTGCGACCTGCCCCCATCCTGGTGAAAGAGCCCCTGCTTCTGCAGAGGGAGTGGCTTCACTCTGAGCTTGGTCCCCTGGGAATGTGGCACATAAGCCTTGTACCTAGGGTAGGCCTGGGAGAGGGATGCAGGAAGCTCACGAATATGGCAGTCCCGCCTGGTTCCAGTCTCGTCCCAGATGCTATGGGCACTGAACCTGGTGAGGGCTGGGCTTCCCCAGCAGGAGCACGGAGGTACCCTGGGGCACCACCAGCCTAGCCTCTCTTCCTGAAGGCACTGAGGACAAGGACCTCTTGGGCTTCCCCAGTGAGGGGTGGCAGCCCGCAGCCCAGAGTGCTCCAGATGTGCTGGGAGGTCAGCCCTGCCCCTGGGGCCTGGGAAGAACCCCTCTCAGGAGGGTGGAGCACCACTGCACAGACAGGAATCCTCTCTCCATCCAGTGAGGCAGAGTACATCTCCCAGTGGAAGGGGAGCCCAGTACTTCTGAGCCTCCTGGTCAGGCCCATTGGCTTTTCTGGCCTGATGTCCCTGCTGGGGAGAAGGTCTTAATGGGAGACAGAGCGTGGAGATCTTCCACTGGGGCAGCTGCCCCAGCAGCAGGATGGGCTGGGGATGGTCCAGCTTCCACACCCAGGTGGCTCTTGGAGGCTCCTGGCCAGGCTCTGTCTGGGGAGGCGGAGCTGTCAGGAGCAGGCCAGCATCCAGAACTCCAGGGCTGCCCCTTCTGGCAGCTGGGAGCGGCCATGCTTTCACCGCCCCCCGCCAGCATGCTCTGCGTCTGGACTCTGGGTCTCACCTGCATCCTCAGGGGGTGCAGACTGACAGCCCCCCACTTGCAGATAGGGCCTATGTGCAACACTACACAGCTTCCTGAGCTGGTAGGGTACACCTGACACTGTGCAGGGTGGGGATTGCCAAAAGATTAGGCCTGGGACCTGCCCTCAAGGAGCTCAGGTTTTGGCTGGAGAGAGACACATGCCCAACTTGAGCCCTGCCCTGCCAGGTGTGCCCCAAGTCTGGTGCAAGAGTAAGAGGCCACATTTCTCAAGGTAGGGACAGGGAAGGAGGGCAGCACAGACAGAGGGGGGCCACAAGGGACCTGGAGAGACAGAGTGAGCCCAAGAAGGCAGAGTTCAGAGCAAGAACGGGCTGGTGGTTACAATAGTGAAATACTGTCTTACCAGTTGGTTTACACCACTGTCCCTGCCTCCAACCCCTCTAGCTCCTCCCGCAACTCCTGGTACTTTGCCATCCTCCAGCTTCCAAGGGGACAATACCTGGCACAGGAGAGGGCATTCAGGCTACCTGGGTGGTGTGTGGTAGCCCTTATGTGTCAATGGTGGAGGCCAGGTGGACTGCCCTGGTGTGGGTCCTTCCACTCCTGCCCCTAAGCCCTGCTAAGCCACACCTTTGTGCCAGCCGGGGCCTGGGCCTTCTATCTCCATGTACTGGCCCTTGATCAGCTCCCAGCCCTCCAAGGGGATGACCAGCCTCCCTCCCACACTTCCCCGTCTTCTGCAGATGTGGACAGCTGTGAGAAGTGGCTGAACTGCAAGAGTGACTTCTTGGCCAAGTACCTGAGCCAGATGCTCCGGGACCTGCCCAGCTGCCCATGTGCATACCCACTGGAGGCCATGTACAGTGCCGTGAGCCTGCAGGACGAGCACCAGGGCCGCAGCTTCCAGTGGAGAGATGCCAGTGGCCCGCGAGAGCACCTAGACGTATACCAGCCCACAGCACGCTTCTGCCTGCGCTCTCTGCTATCCACAGAGAGCAGCACGCCGGCTGCCCAGCACTGCTGCTACGACACAGGCAGCCGGCTGCTGACCCGAGGCAAGGGTGCTGGCGCACCTGACCTTGTCAGCACCGACTTCTCGCCAGAGCTGCACTTCAAGGTGGACACACTGCCCTGGATCCTGTGTAAAGGGGACTGGAGCCGCTACCATGCTGTGCGCCCCCCCAACAATGGCCAGGCGTGTGCTGACAACCCTCCCGAGGAGGAGTACCTGGCCCAGTTGGAAGAGGCCAAGGAGTACTAGTGAGGGGGCCACTGTGCTGAATTGCCTCGCAGGCCTCATACCCCTCCTCTGTCCAGACCTCATGAGGCCGGTCTGGGTGGACCCAGGCAGGCCAGCACCCTGGAGTCAGTGTAGGGTTGGGACAGGTTGAAGGGTTTCGGGCCCAGGGTGAGGGAGGGAGCTCAGTTCCTGTGGCCCCTGGGGATGCCTGGGAATGTGCATCTGTGAAGCTCTCCCTCTCCTGCCTGCTGGAGGCGCTGCCCCACCCTGGCCACTCATTTTCCTTCTTTCCCTCAGAGCTGGGATCTTCCGCCCGGCTCTGTGCACAGGTGTGAGCTGGGCTCTCCAGACACACCCTGCTTCCAGGACCTGCAGTGAATCACTCAGACCCAGCCCGGAGGGCCAGTCCCTTCAGCCTGCCCACAACTTCCTCTTGCCAGGCTGCCAGCCAGCCCCAGGTGAGCAGCACGCCTCTCCCAGTGGCTGCACATGGCCTCCTTGCCCCATGCGCTGCTGGGAGCCACCAGGAGCTGGTTAGCCTCAGCTCCGGGCTGCCTTTCTGTGGACACCACCGTAGGGCTGAAGAACCCTCAGCGAACAGACAGGCTGAGGTAGCCGAGACACGGCTGGCTCCAGGTGGGGAATGGATCAACCAATCCCGGTCCCCTTCTTTGTTCTAAGTGGTAGGATTGTGCTGGGGGAGGTGGCACTGCCCTGAGTGGGTGGGCTCAGAACTGGCTGGGGAGGATGTCATGTGGCCATGGTGAGCTGGTAAACCTCTTCTCTGTTGGTGTGGGGGGATGCTTTGATTTGTAGCTTTTGGGCAATTTCTGGGGTGTAAGTACTCCCACCGTGGCTGACTTCAGGCTCCCCAGGTGATGTCACTGAATGCACTGAGCTCAGAATTAGGCAGAGATGCACATAACTGCCCCCACCCCCAGCACACCTCATGCCTCTTCCCTGCCTCCCTGTGCCCCCTATGTCACACTTCCTTGCCTTCTATGGGATTGAAATGCTGAGGTCCCACTTTTCCTGTTCACAAAAGCCTCCAAAGTTAAGGGACTTCAGTCCTAGCCCCTAGACAGCTGCCCTGAAGCTCTGTGGGATCCTTAGCAATAAAGCACTTTATTTGCAAATTCTGTCTGATGAAGAATTTGGGGTCCCAGCAGAGCAGAAGGGTGTAGGGGGCCCTTGCTTACAGTCCAAGCCCAGCTCCCATGTGTTTTGTTTATGACTACCCAACCCAGCTGGGCAGGCAAAGCTCCTGGGGCACAGAGGTTAAACCGTAAACATGAGTTATCTCTGTCATCTCACTGGTGAGGGCCTGGGAGGCAGAGGGAAGCTGGCTGGACCTCAGAGCACATGTACTCTGTTCTTTGGTCAGAGATGTAAACTGCATGTACTCTGAGTAAGTGGCTCCACTGCCCCAAGTAACTTGCTACAAAGGGTCCAGTTTAGTTGCCCGTAGGACTATATAGGATAACAAAGATGGACACGTACCTGGCTTAGTTGGTATCCTTATGAGACACTCCACTGTCACTCCTGGCATTTGGGAAAGGACAGAGACATATCAAAGTAGGATGAGACAAGGTTGAGAGCCACCACCTGGAGAGAGCCAGATTTTTCCAATTACCGTCACTCCTCGAGGTCGGTTTAACGGTCTGGATTTGGACCACAGTCTAAAATTATTCTGGTGCAACTAGAATATTACAGGGTCAGAAAGACAGAATCTCAGGTCACCTGATGGGGTCCAAGTTCACGCCTTTCCTATTGTTTGGGAAATTCAATACAACTAGCACAGGCATGCTTTAAGTATTTTTTAGCAGAATTTTTTTTTTTTAATGAGACATCCGAGTCTGTTTTCACAGGTAACTGCTAAATTCTTTCTGATTATCTTACCATAAACACACTGTCTAAATTTAATCTATGCCTAATGCTTGTCTATTACCCAAACAAACAGGCGGGGCCGGTAGGTTTGATTTAAGCTGTAGTCCAGGTTCTTCATCAAAAGCTTTCTTTTGGATCGTCAGAAGGCAGAATGCTGAGCTGAATGTGAATTAGTTCAGCCTAGCACTCTTTTGAGTAATTGAACCCAAATGTGGCTTTGGGGAGGTCTAAAATTTCCAGATTAGTACTGAGTTTCTACTTTACTTCAACTAAAACATTCTAGCCAAGTCATGTTGGTAGGATTAGCCTGCAGGCCCTGCTGCCACCTAATAAAACAGACAAAAATAGATGGAAGGAAACAGCTGTAGCTGCAGGAGGTAGTGTCTGGATTAGAGGGCGCTGACTCACACTGGGGTGCAGGACGCTGGGGCAGGACCTGCCTAGGAAAGTGCCCCTGCCTGTTCAGGTCGTCACCTCCTGTAACATGGCAGTCTGAACCCACTAGATCATATCCCCAGCACATGGTCAGTGCTCAGTACTTGTTTATGGAACCAGGTATTTAAACACTCATTTCTTCCTCTTTCTGGGAATACTAAGAGGTTTGGAATTTTCTACTCCAGGAGGGATGCCTGACATAACTAGAAATGCAGGAGCTTTCCTTTGGGAATAAACCCAACAAGGTGGTAGATGTAGTGGTTTAGACTTGAGCCTGGCTCAGCAGGTCCAATCCTTGTCCCAAACCCCACCCTGCTAATCATTAGCTGTAGGGTCTGGAATATGTTACTTAAGAAATCCAACGCTTAGTTTCTTGTAACAGAAATGATGGTATTATCTATTTCATAGGGTTATTATGGGGGTTCAATAAGCTCATGTGAGGAAACCGCTTAGTCTGGTGCTGGATCGTGCTAACTTCATTAAACAGGCTGTTAACCCAATGCCCACAGTTCCCCTGGTCACAGAGTGGGGAATCTCATCTCAAACCAGCACCTGGTCATCCCTCTTCTTGCAGTAGGGGAAGAGACCACAGCAAGTGGAAGTCCAGGATGCCACCTCTGCCTGCAGTAGTGTTTGTTGGCACTGTTTACACCAGAGCACCAACCCTCAGTGAGGGAGAGGAAACTTTCTGCCAGTCTGCAGAAAGGATGCTAGCTTAGAAATGCTTGGTGGTAACAAGCAGGCTCCTTTGTGTCTCTTACCTACACTTAACCAGAATGGAGACAAATGCCCTCCATTGTTTTTTTTTTAATTAAAAATCTTCAAGGGAACTCTTAATACCTACAATCTACCCTATCAACACAGGTTCCTGATATGCATGTTTTTTAAATTACGTTTATTTAGCGTATGTACACATAAAAGAAACTGCCTTCTCATCCCACCCAGCAGAAAACATGCACAAACCCAAGGTATATGCGGAGGATGGGGCCCCAGCCCCAAGTTAGTGGTTGGGACAGTGCAATCCTGTGAGTCACAAGCCCCAGTCAAGAGAGGGCTGGACTGAAGGGTTGGGCAGGCTGCAGCCCCACTGCTGGCCTTAAAACAAGCGTGCACCATATCCAAAGGTCTGTTTGATGCCCTCAAAGTAGTATCGCTGCCAACCCTGCCGTGTCCTCTCTTCCTCAGGGGCAGGGATGCCTCGGCCTTCCATGCACAGCTCAGTTTCTCCATTCTTGTCGATGAAGGCCAAGGTGATGGTAGCAAAGTGCCCTGGGGGAAGGCAGAGGAGTGGGAGGTTTCAGATCTAGGGTTTCCAACTGGGTTTGAGACTAAGAATGAAAGACAAAGTCCTGGGAGTAATGGCAATAAACGAATATGCTTACTTACCTTCTGGCCAAGATTTAAACCTCCACTTCATCACAATATGTTTTTCAGGGACCTAAAATAATCAGAAAGGTCAGTCTAGATTACAGTGGACTAGCCAGGGTTAGCCATCTGCCTTCAGTATGGTGTCTGTCGTATGTGCAATTACACTACTTAGGAGGACACAGTGGGCCACAGAGCTGGCAGCAGCTGCCCTGATACTCGTTGCGGCTTCTCCTCTTGCTCCTAAGTCAGGTCTGGTCAACTGCCCAGGTAAAATTTCAGTGCTACAAGTGGACAGCTACAAGCTGCCAATACATATAACCTCTCTTCCATGTCTGATTTCTCTAGGAAGAAACTGATTTCACCCTGCTATGTACAACAATTCTAGGAAAGCAAGAGAATTCAACTGATGAAAAACAAAAAATGAGGTTTTATTAACAAAGAGATTCAAGCCTTAGAATTTTACCTACAGAGCTGAAAGAAAGCAGATGTTACTTTTCTAACCAGACAGAGGCTACATCCTGGGTCTGGGGCTAGCAGGTACTCACCAGATCAGTGAATTCCCCAGATACGTTGCCATCTACCAGGTGAAATTTCCCACCTTTGTCTGCTTCTAACACTGCAGGAGCATGGGTAAAGGCCTGAACCAGCTGTAGAGAAAGAGAAGGCAGGGAGAAGATGCACGGCTCTCAGTGAGACCCAGGGACAAACGCTAGCTGACACCATGCCTACAGACCCGGCTTCAGCTTCAGTAATACTTCCTTAACCCATGACGCCACTACTTTTGATCCACTCACTTTTCTAACAAGAATGATTCCAGTGGTTCCCACCTAAGAGGACCCAAAGCTACTAGTATATAGAGAAAAAACAGCAAATTCACTTTCATGAGTAAGCTGAACAAATGTGTTTTTCCTTTGCTTGTATGAGGAAAGCCTCACGGTTCCACTCATCAGACTGCCTCTGCACGCTGACAGGTGTGCCCACCACTCAAGTCACCTGGAAGAGCAGGTGCCGTCAGGCCTGAAGGGCAAGGTCATACTTACCTCTTGGGTGGTAAGAACTCTATAGAGCTCCTCTGGTGATGTCAGGAAGGTTTCTCTAAGGGTGATCTTACAAGTGGGGATTTTGACACCAACAGGTCTGGCCTGGGTGTTTGGAGGAGCAGACTTAGTCTGTGGAAGAGGCAGTGAAAATCGTCAGTTAAGAATAATGGTGAAACCTCGATTGACATGGCTTCCAGGGGCAGAACTGCCATTCATTTTCACAAACTTTTTTCACCCCCAAGGCTACTTATTCCAGAGGGTTGGAGAGAATGTGTGTGTATGGATGTTTCTGGAAGCATCACTCTCACATCTACTCAGAGTATCCTTCACTGTACTGACAAAAGGGCAACAGGGCTGAAAATCAAGTGCTAAGCCTGAACCACCTAAGTTCCATCTCCAGGAAAAATACTTGTTCAACCACAAATGGGGCAAATTGATGAATTTCTTGATAGGTGAAGTCAGTGATCTAACCTGACACCCTGATGAGATCTCTAGTATCAAAGTATGAAATATCAACACCCAACTTTGAAGAAATACTGAAGACATATACAGATGAAGATCACTCTGTGTTCAAAACCTCCTAATTGGTGTAAAATGCAATCAAGAGTCAGGCTCTGAAGTCCCTGATAGCTTCCATTTGGTATAGGCTCTGTTATCAATGAATAAAAACCACGTAAAGACAGGCAGACAGACAATCACATATTGCAGATTCTCTAAAAGGTACCACAAGCAGATGAGAGGCTGCTCTGGCTTAGAGGCTAGGATTGGAGAGAAAGAGCCGAAATGTGGAATTGAGGGGCAGTGGCTTGATTCCCCTTCCAGAGAGCCAACTACCCCACCGGGTGGGAAAACCATTCACCTTGCGTGCCTCAGTTTTCAGTGCTGGCTGCCCAGGCGGCTCCACTGACTCTCCATTCACTGTAGGCAAGATCATGCCCTGCGTGAACCCTGCAAAGATAAAATCCCACCTACTGGACACTTTTTCTTAGTAGCTGAGCCTTGGGGCTTCATTACAGTTTGACAAACATGGCCATCTTAACCCAGAATGAGGTAATGACAAGGCAAGGAAGAGCCTATCCACTTGCACCTTCACCTTTGGTCTATGCCAGACAGGTATCTGAGTGTACACTACAGAGCGTAGTACATTCTGGGGATTATTTTAAGCTCTGACTCAATTAGAAGCATTACAGCTTGTTAAATGTATGTGGTATGGATGATAGCCAATGAACGTACTGGCACTTCCAATTACTAAGAGTGGGACAAGATACCCATGGAAGCATATTTAGTCCCTTTCTCCCCTCTGCCTCAAACTCTGTAGAATAGCCACAATTAGTTATGGCATCAGAACACTGGTCTCCACCAAAGCTGATTACCTTCTAAGCCAGTTCTCTATGTCCTCTACATCAAGATGAGGACACACTAGCAGAATTGGACTTCCAGGAGAGAGCTGAGTGGACTGCTATTCCAGTAACTCTCTAAATGTCCCTGGACAATTGTATCAAAGAGAGTCCAGGACCACCCTGAAGTAATGAGTTTGGGAATGTCATCCTCAAAAATTTCTAATAGCTGCATTACAGTTAAAACAGGTGAAATTAATTCTAATACTATATTTAACCCAATACATCCAAAACTATCATTTCAATGTTATCAATATCAAAATATTATTGGTATTTTACATTCTTTTATTTTTGTACCAAGTCTTCGAATCCACTGTGTATTTTACATTCACAACTGGACTAGCCACATTTCAAGTGCTCTATAGCCAACATAGTAGAAAATGCATGCGTCTCAAGATCTTTTCCTCAGTTTACAGACTAACTTTAAGATAAAATAAGTACCCCCCAATCTTTGCTCATTTGCCAAAGAACTGTCAAGACCCTTAATGTGAGTCTGACAGGTGGAAAACTATCTCCTCAAGGCATATGTAGCTACCCAAGGGATACCTGTTTTGAGAGTGCTGATGTAAATTCCCATTGCTTCTCTTAGAAGTTTCACCCCTTCTTCCTTCATTAAGGCCAGGAGATCTGTATGAGGCTCGTCTTTGGCAAGGCTCACACTAATCTGAGTGAAAGATCACAAGCAGGTGGTAAATAACTTGAGGGTCACCCACGTTACGGAATATGGGTGCTGAGCAATCAGGTAACTGCTGACATTTTCAGAGGAAATGCACAAGGGTTGCAGTGTTTGTATAGTCCCCACAAGTGTTCCTTTTTGAGTTCTGCCAAGGCAAAGGCAGCTAACATTGGAACCCACGTTGCTAGCTAAAGCAGAGTAATTATACGAGCTGTCCTGGAAGCTCCCCAAATCATCTGCAGACTGGGCTTTTGAATGCTTGGGCCTAATCTGGGCTTTAATCTTGAATGACAGGTCATTTTTCTCATCTGAGAATAAGAGGATGTGGAAAACTCAGACGAGGAACTGGGAAGCACGAACCTCTATTTCATCCACACTGTTTTCATCAGACAAATTGGGGATCTCCACATGTCCCTTGTACTGTACTCCAGACTTAGAGGTACCTGTCAAAAGCAATGCAGTGTCATTAGCCTCCTCTTCTGCAGCAAGTTGTCTTCTCGGACTCCTAACTGCTACTCTTATACTTCTTTTGGACAACTGAACCGACCTTCTTTATTCTGAGAGAATGCTACATGCACCAACCCTCCCCCTACTCAGAAGTAATGCCTTTCCTCATCAGATTTCTTGAGACCAACTGTGTTATTCCAGTGAGGGACCAAGTGGATTCAGCACTAGCAGGAATTTTGCCAAGGCGGACTTGGGTCAACAGTCGATACAGTTCTGCTAGAATGCTTGTTTAAAATATGTGAATGTGTTCCAATGCAACTGGCGTATTAGGAAAAACTTGGGGTAACATGAATTTATATGTTTGTTTATGTGTGATGTCATCCAGAGAAACATGAGGTGAACACAAAATACCCACACTAGCTCAACAGAGCTGCAGAAGAATATACAAAACACATACACCACAAACATTTACCTGCCAGTGACCTCAGTTCACCATGTGTTATGAGCCACACCACCACAACTGATGTGATGTTCCTTCTGACTTCAGGTGACCTCTCTCCTACCACTTCACAACAGCCCACAAGCCACATCCCCTCTGATGCTCACTTTCATAAGTAAACTTCAGGTGCTTTCAAGGTAAGGCACCGTATTTACTGTATTATTTATATATTTCTTACCATAGAACATGTGTAAAACTTGCTAATTTTTACTTTCCTAATTCAAAAAAAATGTGTTGCTGACGAAGCTTTTGGGTATTGTCATGTCCCTAACTAATCCCATCTTCCCTACAAACCCTGTGGTTTTCATTCAGCAGTTTCGTGCAGCATAGTGCAGAATTAAGAACATCTATGTCATATGCCATAAATATGACACATTGTATGTCATTATGCTAGCACACTGATTATATTTTAAAATCAACCAATAAAACATTTATTTATCTTCACTTCTCTAGGGCTGTTTCTCAATCTATAAAAAGAGGACTGGGCATGATGATACCTAGGGTGCTTTCCAAACTACTATGCTGGAATAGTTAAAAAACAAAACAAAACATAGGTATCTACTTTTCTCCTCTTCATTACCATTCACTGGAGAAAAATTTACTAAAGCACATACTTATTTTATGCATTTCCCCATACATGTACTCCCTTAGGTTTAGTGCCTTTTAAAATTCAACTTCCCAGTAGTCAGGACTATCCAAGTGGAGCACGTGCATGGCCCCAATTCTTTGCTAATATCCCAGTCACATTAAACTAAAGGGCAAAACTGTCCCAAATCACAGTCACATATAAGCTTCATTAGCACGTTGGTCTAAGCTGTTAGATTCACAGTGGAGAGAGTTAAAAAGAGGTCAAGACCCAAAAGATCCTTCTCCCCACTTTTAAATCACCCATGAGACAGAAGTAGCTAGTCAAGGACATTTTACCTTACGCTTCCCACACAGTATGTGGCCCGAAGAGTCAGTCCAGCTGCTTCACTGGTGGGACTCATGAGATCCAGAGAAAGGAAACCCACAGTGGCAGAGAAATTTCAGCATCAACACTGCTGTCTACACAGCAGCATTGCCTCCCTTGAGAAGTTCATAGTCTCTCAGTGACTGTTCTACCTGGCTCCTACAGGTCAACCAACATGCAGTTAACCTCTGTCCTAACAGCCCAGCACAGACTTACCTGTCCAATTTAGTTTGATGCTCCACTCATAAAAGAAGATAAGTTTGCCTTTGCGATTGTTAATGGATGCCTCTCCATCAAGTTTATTGACTTCTGTCACCTCACACTGGCCTTCCTCATTCTGTACTTGCACTGCAAGGAACAGTGTTTTCAGCTTGTCTGTGGACCAATTTGAAGCATCCCTCTCTGTCCTGCAAAACAGAAACAAAGCTATGAACCAATAGCCAAATGAAGGACATGCTGCTTTTTCCATCCAAGAGAATCCAAGGCTAAAAGATGCCTGACAAATAATTTGAAAAGAACACAAAACTTAGTCCCACTCTAGTATGTCCACAAATGTGTTACCCTCTTTTAGGAAGACAAGGAGTTCCATACTGTCAATAAAGACAACTGGTTACAAATCAAATAGAAAATTATGCTCTCCTTTCTCAGTGTAATAGTGCTAGGTTCACAGTTGAAAGTTTAACATGGCGCCCCCATTTGACCAAGTGGAAAACTGTGCACATCTTGCTGAGATCAGGAGCATACAAAGCAGTGTTTAGGTCAAAGATCCAGTAACGAGTACGCTAATAATCTTGACCTCATTAGCAAAATGTTCTGACCTGTCAAATTTAGGCTGCGCTATAAATGTCCTACACATTGTGTCCTCTAAATGGCCGTGAAAGCAGTGTAAGTCCAGGGCTACAAAACAAACAAAATTGGTTTAAGCACTCTGTTTCGTTGAGAGGAGAGGATCAGGCAAAGGAACAGAGAAGAAAAATCATCTGCCCTCCAACTGATTAACTAGTAGAGAAACAGTAGCAAAAAGAGTTGCAAAAAGTAAAAATACAGTAAGGACAGTATGAACAAAGATCAGTGGAGTTAAAAGATAAGGAAACATTACTTCGGAAAGACTTCATGAAGAGGATAGGCTCTCAGAGTGTTTAAGTTATAAAGCCATGATTGCTGGCAACCTGGCGCGTACCCTGGAGTTACAACCCCACCAAACTAACAGTTCCGGGTGAGAGGCCATGGCGTCTTCAGCATCTCTGAGCTGTGAGCCACCCGCAGAACACGTTCCAAACCTTTGCTCTCTAGATTGAGGTAGTGGTCCCCTATGTGACTTTGAAATTTCACCTGTAAGCCACAAAATAGTAATTCTAGACCCCGGCCCCGAGCTTAACACTGCTATGTCTCAACCCATGTAAGGCCATTTGGATCCCACCGATCCCTCCGGCCACGTGTGGCGAGCATCTTCCTGCTCAGGCTGGAAGCATAGGCTAAGGGTTATTTCCTCGTATCTCTGAAGCCCTCTCTGGGGCGCAGCCCTTCACGTCGCCCCCTTGTTCCCCAAACGCTGAAACAGAAACCGGGGCCGTGGAGAAGCCTGAGACTACAGACCCCTTCCGCAGGAAGGACCCACCCCCATCTCCGGGCAGGGCTGCCAGAGCTCTAGCTCTGCCCCGGCCGAGGTTCCAGTGACCCCCGCAACCCTGGCCTGGACGTAGCGCTCCCGCGGCCCGGCCCGCGGCTCACCAGTGCCAGTTGTTGACGTTGGTAGCGTCCGCCCGCTCCTCCACGATCCAGCGTGGGTCGCCCTCACCCCACTTGGCCATCGGCTCTCCTATCGCACCTCCACCGGCTTCCGAGCAGCCACAGCCACAGTCTCAGGACCGCTCGGTCCCCGCCGCCCGACAGCGCCTGGAAACTACTAGAAGCGGCCGCAGAAGGTGCAGGCTTGCTTTTCCCTCCACCACCACCCCGCCCCCTTCTCGCCCTAACTTCCGGCGCCCCCTCACCCCTCCCCACTGGGTACTTCCGTTCTGCCGCTCCAGACCTTGACTTCCGCATGCTCTGATGTTCCTTCAAGCTCACTCAGGTTTTCCCAAAGAGGCGGGAAACCCAACAGCTCACACGACCATTCCGCCGCCATAGAGACTCAAACACATGTTTCGTTTGTTTCCCTGGGCCCTGACTTAGGCCCTGACGAGCCTCATGGGAGTTGTAGTGTTGTTGAATGACCCTAGGTGACCGCGTGAGGTCGCGCTAATAGTAAAGCAAAGGACCTAAGGACGGATCTGGGAATTGTAGTTAAAAAGCCCATGTCCCTTGTGGACAGCACCAGACTGCGTAGGCGAAATAAACTACAACTTCCAGTGTACCCTGCGCCTCTTTCTTGACTCCACGCGACCATCCCCTTCCGCCCCTTTTTATGCCGCCGAGCCTGATTAGAGAGGCTGGTCCTGCGGCGGAAGAGTGGCGCGGCTCTGACAGGGAGGGCTCGGTGTGGAAGAGGTGAGGGGCTCCCACGGCGCTTGGGCCGTGTACCTGGCTGAGTCCAGCCTCTTTGCATCCTGATCCTTTACCTCTGTTCTCTGAGGCGTCCTTAAGCACCCCAGGCCTCACTCTTCCAGTCGGAGCGACCCCTGCGCTGGGATGCTGAGTATCCTGGATGCTCGGGGTTGGAGCTGTGAGTGAGCCCCGACGGTTGTTTGCGAAGGAGCATTTGCCCTGCCAGTAATCCCAGGGCCCTGGCGACTGCGGTAGATGAGTGGCTTCCTGGACGTTCGCCCAGAGAGTCTTCCTAGTTACCGCACGTTTTCTGGTCTAAGTTCACAGCTTCACCTGTGTAGGCCTGTTCGGAAGATGATAACTGAATGGCTGTAACTTCTCCGTAGCTGGTCTTTGGGACGTCCTGAGGCAGGGATCANTCGTGGATTTGGTTTTTTTTTTTTTTTTGCTGATGCCTGTTTTCCTTCCTCTGTCGTGTGCCTATTCTCCCCTTGGATCTGCTACCCTGTTTTGTAAACAGTTAACAGGTGACAAGGACAAGTCTGTTAAGTATTTTAAGTGATGTTGAAATCTTTTTCAGGCACTCTAAAAATTGTATCTGATTGCTTTGAAACTCCTAAGAGTCATTAAATCATTATCTCTTTAGTTGCCGAGTAATTCTGGGTTCTAATTTGGCACTAGAAGTATAAATTGGTGTCAAGTATCCACTGCCCTTGCTTGGGTAAAAAAGATTTTAATAAACCTTTTGGTGGATTACTGGGTTTGCCAGACACATTCTATGCCTCCCTGTATACTTACAGGTATTTATTTACTGTAGTGAAGTAATGACCTACCCTAGTTTTTCCTAGAGTGACAAGTAGTTAAAAGGACCATGCAAGTAACAGTGGGAATGATCCACAGGCCAGGAACTGGACTATAGGAGCATTTAGCAAGGTGGCTTCAATACTTACTCTTTGGTGCTCCATTTCCTTCATTAGTGAAATGGAAATGGAATCTGCCATGCCCACCTTACAAGAGTTTTCCTGGGGATGACAAAGTGCTTTATAAACTGGCACCTTTGCCAGAGACTTTCATATGCTTTTGCACGCCTTCAGTGTTTGTGGGCTGCTTTCAAAGTTTTTATTTCAAGTTAAGTCTTTTAAATTTAGGATTGCTTAAAAATATTTTCTTCCTAGCGTTTTCCAAGATAACCATGATGACTTACTAGTAAAAGTTAATATTAAGCATTGATTTTGTGTCATGTGCTAAATAAGCTAAGTGCTTTACATATATTAATTGGCTTAAGCCTCCTAACAGTCTTATAAGGTCTTCTATTGATAAGCCCATTTTACAGATGAGGAAACAAAAAGATGTCAATTAGATATACTAAAAAGAACTAATGTTGGTATTTACTTTCTGCTAGGCACTTTGTTAGGTGTTTCCTGAGTCCTATTTATTCTTCAGTGCAACCTTGTGAGGTAGGTATCATTCTCTCCAAGGCTTAGAAGTAGAATTATTTACCTAGTGTGCTCAGAATCGGAGAACAAAGATTTAAACTCAAGCCTTCTTGACCATAAAGCCCAGGCTTGTACCACTATGAGGAATGATTTCACTGTGTCTGCTTGCTTTTTCATTTGGTTTTGACATCTGGAATTAAATAAACAAAAGGATTCAGTCACATCCAAATTCAATAGAAATCAATTAACAATGTCTGTTGTAGGAAGGGATCAGATTTAGTAGAAATTTTAGTAGAAGATTCCCACTAGTACTTTTGCCATCCCTGCATCTTCTGAAAACAGGAAGTGAGAGTACAGACTGTCCCTGATGTACAGTGGTTCTACTTAAGATTTTTCAACTTGATGATGGTGTGAAAGTGATATGTATTTAGTAAAAACCGTACTTTGAATTTTGAATTTTGATCTTTTCTTGGGCTAGTGAATATGCTGTACAATGCTCTCTCATGATGCCTGACAGTGAGCAGTAGCTCCCAGTTAGCCAGACAACCCCAAGTGTCAACATCCGACACACTAACATTCTGTTTTTCACTTTTAGTACAGTACTCAGTAAAATACATGAGATGTTCAACGCTTCATTCTCAAACAGACTTTGTTAGATGATTCTGCCCAACTTTAGGCTAATGTAAGTGATTTGAGCATGTTCAGGATAAGACTAGACTAAGCTATGATGTCTGGTAGGTCAGGGGTGTAGTAAATACACTTTTGATGTACAATATTTTCAGTTTACGATGAGTTTATTGGGACATAACCACATTGTGTGTTGAGGAAGATGATATATAGAGTATGTGAAAGCCATCAGAAGCCTCATCAGGGCTGCCATGATGAGTTTCTCAATCTTCTGTTGAGAAAGGCACTATTGAAATAAAAGGAGCAACAAATTGATCCTTTAGAATTTGACACTGTGTAGCTTTTGGAGTTATTTTTGATGCTGAGCAAGTTTTTGTACCTAGTTCTTTGCTTAAACATGTTTTCACTCTATTCCAGTTAGCACTGATAGTTTAGTTCATAATTCTGGGGCAAATTTTTTTTTCAGAGTGAAATCTTATTTTAGAGTAGTATGAGAGGAACCTGTGTTTTGACTGACTATATGCTTTCTTGGCCATGCCCTCATTTCCCACGTTTTGGCCAATACTTGTTAAAAAGTTGGTCAGGATTTGAAGATATAGGCAGGATAATTGTGCTGCTTCTAATTGTTTTGTTTTCATTCTTTCAGGCATATAACAAGCATACATAAGAGCAAGATATTTGTCAGTACTATAGTATGCCCACAGCCTAGACCAGTGCCTTAGAAATGATGCTCAGTAGATACACGTTGAATACATGAATGAAATCATTTCTGTTTTGTTCATGCTTTGATGGATCTTGTGTGTTCAGCAATATTCAATGTGCATTCTTATAACACTCATTTGTCTTACACTATTACCTTTATGCATACGTAAGCGAATACCTCAACTCTTGGTGTAGGGTCCTTCAGGAGAGGGACTGTGTCTTGTACTTTTTAAATATCCCTTACAACACTTCTGCAAGTGCCTTGAACAAAGCAGGTACTCTAGGCATGACTGACCACTTGTGTTAGAGGATCAAAAGTATGGCTTAATCAGTCAGAGACCCAAGGATCTGAGTTCATATGGCAGGTTCAGTATTTGCTTTACCAGATTCCTTTATACATCCCTGATTAGTGGGGGAAGTTTGTAGTATAGTGAAGGAGCATCAAGCATTTGGAACTCTTTGGGGCAAATCCAGAAAGGGATATATATGTGTCTTCCTCTCACTCCAGATGAATCGGACAAAGGGTGATGAGGAGGAGTATTGGAACAGTTCGAAGTTCAAGGCTTTCACCTTTGATGATGAAGATGATGAGCTCTCACAGGTAAGTTTCCATGAACAGCTGCTGACGGTTGCACCCTCCTCCATAGTGCCAACTGAAATTCCTTCCTCTTGCATCCTTGGCTTTCGATCATGTCTTCTTTAGGCTCAGAAATGTTTTGGTTCATCTTAAGAACAATCTTCAGGGAGAATTGCTCTCAGAAAAGAGGCAGAGGGATTGTAAAAATCAACCCACTGCCCTTGTTTATATTCTTAAGATGATTCATTCCCTTCAGGTTTTTTTTCCCAATAACCCCAAATCTTTTATCATGTGATAAAATTTATTATTTTTGAAAATGGAAATGGACTGGCTTGGAAATTTTGTCTTTATTATATCTATTTTACAAGTGGGGAAACATTCATTTTTGGAGAGATGGATAAACTCACTCAGATTTACATAGCAAATCATGACCAAGAATATAATTAAAACTCAAAAGTGGCTTCGAGTCCTCCTAACTCTTGCCCTGGACTGCAGTGCTGGCTAAAAAAACAATTTGTCTTTAGGGAAATATCTAGCAGGATAAGCTTTCGATTACAGAGAGTGAAAGTGTTGGCCATCTTCAAGTCCCAATTCCACAGCCTTCTTTGTTGTCACAGAGAAAGGTGGGAAGTGGTGATGGTTTGAGTGTCCTGCCTTGTGCCCTTCTACAGTTAAAGGAGTCCAAGCGAGCAGTGAATAGCCTCCGAGACTTCGTGGATGATGACGATGATGATGACCTGGAGAGAGTCAGCTGGACTGGGGAGCCTGTAGGAAGTAAGTAGAAGAGGTGCCTTGACTGATAGTCAGGGTTCTTGTCCCTAATGAAGGCTCCACTTGTTTGCCCGCTCAGTGCTTGTCAGGAAAGGGAATGAGGGTAGACTATTTTTAGCTGAGCATTCATTTGGAAATTAAACCCCAAGAGAAGATAATACAGAAAAGGAAACACAGTAGTAGTTCTCCAGGTTTGCTGTCCTACAGCGAATGCCTGCTGCCTATTTCACACCTGGAGTGCTTGTTAAAATTTGGTTCTTAGACATCAATCCCGACACTCTTGATTCAGTAGGTCTTGAGGGTCAGGGTAGGGGGTCTCAATTTGTAATAAGTACCAGAAGTGCTTCTACTATGCAGTCATATTTGGGAACTATTAATTTACCACATTCCTTCATACATCCCTGATTAGTGTGAGGAGTTTGTAGTACAGTGAAGGAATGTCAAGCATTTGGAACTCTTTTGGGGGAATCCAGAAAGGGATATACATCTGTTTCTTCTCACTCCAGATGAATCAGACAGAGGGTGACAAGGAGGAGTATTGGAACAGTTCCAAGTTCAAGGCTTGGATTGGACTTTAATAATTATTCATAACTGGCAAAATTGACTTCTTTAGCCACCAAGTCTCACTGTCTAGCTGTTATACAATACCACTCAACCCCTTTACATAGTACATCTGATTTTTTTTTTTTCATGGCTCACTCAGGACATTTATTTTTTTAAATTTTCTTTTCTTTTTTTTTATTTTGGTATCATTAATCTATAATTACATGAAGAACATTATGATTACTAGATTCCCCCCTTCACCAAGTCACCCCCACATACCCCTTCACAGTCACTTTCCATCAGTGTAGTAAGATGCTATAAAATCACTACTTGTCTTCTCTGTGTTGCACAACTCTCCCCATGCCCCCCCCACACTATGCATGCTAATCGTAATGCCCCCTTTCTTTTTCCGCACCCTTGTCCCTCCCTTCCCACCCATCCTCCCCAGTCCCTTTCCCTTTGGTAACTATTAGTCCATTCTTGGGTTCTGTGATTCTGCTGCTGTTTTGTTCCTTCAGTTTTCCTTTGTTCTTATACTCCACATATGAGTAAAATCATTTGGTACTTGTCTTTCTCCACCTGGCTTATTTCACTGAGCATAATATCCTCTAGCTCCACCCATGTTGTTGCCAATGGTAGGATCTGTTTATTTCTTATGGCTGAGTAATATTCCATTGTGTATATGTACCACGTCTTCCTTATCCATTCATCTACTGATGGACATTTAGATTGCTTCCATAT